TTTCTATGTTTTTGGAGTTTCCTTTTCTGTTTATAAGGGAAATCCTAAAATAATCCGATGCACTTTGCAAAAGAATAGTTTCGATTGCTTTAGGAAAGCTGGGCACTGACTAATATTCGGAATTGTGGCGGTGTCTGAATGATGTCAGAGACAGGAACTGCATCCCCAGTGCCGCGCATTTTTCCAAGTGTTTCTATCTGCAGAGCGGGGTGCTGGTACAGCAGCTGGCTTTAGGGTCAAGTGAGGATTCCATTGCGAAGGGGGGGCAGGGGGCTTTACCCATCCTGCGTGCAGGTGGATTAGTGCTGCCTTCCCCTGTTGTAACTAGAAATCCAAGAGTGGTCTTGAGAATGCCCTTACCCGAAGATAACCTCCCACAGCCTTTTGCGTTGTCGATAATCCACACGGACACGCCTTCTCGCCTCGCTGACGATCTTCCAGTCGTCCATCTGCACTGGCAGAGACCCCAGTGGTGGGCCGCGATGCGACAGGGCGATGTTACGGCTGCGGAGGTCGTATCTCACCCTGGACAGGCCAGATAAGAGCAGAGAAGGGAAATGGAGTTCGAGTCAAAGCCTTGAAAATGAACAACTCCGCCCTTCATTGTGCTGGTATATGGGAGTACTGCTATGAAAAACTCCTCCAGCTGCAAACATCAATAATAAGGGCATCAACTTTTATCTCGCTCATTAGTAGACTGTCAGGGAGGCCACCCATCGATCCTGAATGGTTTACAAGGCACACGGAGCAAGAAAAGACGCAGGCCAAAATGGCTGAGGTTACATGACCTACAGGGGGAAAGCCCTCGTGTGACTGCACGCGCAGAGTTGCCTGAGAAGCCCTGTCCCCAGCGTAGGTGTATTGCCCAGACGGTAATTTTGCTGTTGGTAAACAACCGTTATGAAGGGTAGCAAGAGCTCAAGCAGACACCCCAGACCTCCGGCGTTTGTAGGAAGAACCTTTTTGGGGTATTTCTTGACTTTGTAAGTTCAGTCGCTGTCTTGTTGGAAGTGAGGAAAGGAAAAGCCTTTATACTTGATACGACAGCAGAGCAGGGATAAAGGTGTGCTGTACCTGGGCAGTCAATGGATGAATAATTATTGCCTTATATATCCCACATTTCTGCTTCAGAAACCTCTTAAAACTGGTTTATGTGATGTTGATTTTTCCCATGAGATAAGTTAAATAATTGGGGCAGGGAAATCTCGTATGCCACTACAAACCACACCATATTGTTTCTTAACGTAGCACAAAGGCTAAAAGTAAATCCAAATTGGTTACATTTAATAATGTAAAGATGAGCTTAAGAGAACCCCTATGATGCAAGTTTGAAAGGAAAGACAGGTCCCTGCCCTGAAAGACCCAGCATTAGAAGGAACAGGGACAAAGGGACAGGTATATATTAAAACGCTGATGTTGGGCCCAAAGCTTGTGGAGAGACAGGTATTCTGAAACGATCCCTGCCCTGACTCTAGTTAATGCGACATGCGCACACACAACGTCATTTTCCAAGTTCTGGAGGGAATTATTTTGAACCAACACTCTGTACCTAGCTTAGCTCCCAGGTTTGAGGAAATAGGCTTTTTTTCTTTAAAGAAAAAGGACTCAAAGTGTACCTGGGGTTGGCGGGGATACTCTCTGAAACGAAAGTGGATAGCAAATACGCAGAACAGAGACAGATGGCTTAGTGGGCACCTGATGTGTCTGGCTGGATCCATAGCGGCCCACAGGACAAACTTCTATTAACAAGAAGAGCTGGCCAATGGATCACAAAGTAAAATTATATGCTGATGCGTGAAAACACATCTGAAAATGAGAGGAAAAATGTGTTCAATTTAATTTACTAGAAAGGCAGATTCAGGCAAAGGCATCTGCTGAGAACAGTGGTATACAATGACGGGAGCGGTTTAATCAGTGTTTGGTCAACTGGAAAAACAAGAACCATGGATCGTGTCTTTTTTAGTTTTTCTTTTTCTAGGTTTGTTTTTTTATTGGTTTTTAAGCAGGGTTACTCCCGTCTCCCCAGGCTGGAGTGTAGTGGGCCTGCAGGCTTCCCCAACTGGACTGGGCTCAGGCGATCCTTCCTCAGCTCCGAGATAGCTGGGACTACAAGCACGTGCCACACACCAGGCTAATTTTTTTTTATTTTCAGTAGAGATGGGTGTTTGCATGTTGGGTTCAGGCTGGTCCGAAAGACTCCTGGCTCAAGGGTCACCCCACTCGCTCCTAAAGGTGCCGGGTTACAGGCGTGTGGGCCTTGCACCCCGGCCTGTTTTTGAGTTTTTATGTTTCTATCAGTCCACTATAATCTATCAGAAATTAATCTATTCATTTCTTGAACGTTTTTAAATTTCCAAATCTGAAAATTAATGGAGTTGATGTATTATCAAAGGGTTGAAGGAAATCCAAGTAGATAACAATACAAATAGCATTGAGGAAGCCAGGCAAGGGGGCCAACCGTCGCTTACAAAAAAAAAAAAAAAAGAAAGTCACTTTGGCAGACTCGCTCGCGCCCAGCTGGCCTCCCAGGGCTAAGTTACTGTTCCCCACAGCTTAGGAAAAGGAGGGAAAGCTTCCCAATCTCTCCATTGAAGCCAGCATCTGATTAGCCAAAGCCTAAAGCTGAGAGCACGATCGCGAGAGAAAACTACATATCGATGAATTTAGAACAGACTCCACAGCAGTGCACAGACAAGGGAATCACACAAAAACCAACCTGGGTCATGTCCACGGAGGTCCGAGAAGAAATGGGGATGAACGTACACCATCCAGATGTGGGCAGTGAGCACTGCCCACGCCACCATTATTTCACATCGCTTTTAAAAACTTTGACAAATTAGAACAAAAGGATAAACGAAAGTAACAAAAATCGGAAAGAAGTGGGTAGGGACTTCTCATTAGTGAGAAGGGACAGTCCCAGAGAATTCAGTAACACAGAGTCAAAGATAAATTTATATGCTAAAATCTAGTTTAAAAAATAGAATCAAAGAAAATGTCCCATTTGTAACAACAGTTAGAGGCAAAATACTCTATAGTAGTTTTCTCAGCTTGGAGCTCTACCACATATATTATACAAATTATAGAGGGTGCAAAGAGTTAAACATAATTAAACTATAAAAATATTCAAAGGAGGACAGCCTTTCGAAACAAAGTACAGAAGGTGAAAAAAGGGTTTAACTTTTTCCTGTGGGGGCAGGGAAAAATCAGAAAGTCAGTCCAATGATAAACTAAGGAAAATGTTTGCAACAAAAAGGGCTAATGTCTTATAATAAATGCCTTCAAATCAGTAAAGACTGACAACCCATTATTAAATCGAGAGAAAAGATAAGAAAAAGCAATTCACAGAAAAATACTAATGGCTTTTCAACACGTGTAAGATGTTTAAGTTTACTGGTAATAAGATAAATTACACAGTAAAACTACAATGCAATGCCACTTTGTCACCGATCTCCCCAGCAAAGGTGAAGTGTGGTAACGCCCTACGAGGCACTGTGTGGCAGGGAGTCGTGGACAGGTAGGTACTCCTAGACAGCTGAGGCAAGCACAAATCCTTCTTTGGGGAGTGACTTGGCAATATCCAACCAAACACCACATGCACCTCACTTCTGAGCCGGCAATTCCACTTCAAGGAGGTAGCTACACAAGTGTCCACATACACGCAAGGCCAGTCACCAAAGCACTGACCTTAGTTGCAAAAGAGGCTTCTGTTTCAGACAACATGTTGACGGTTCCACTGCAAAACGCTTAAAAATGCTGGATAAAATCCTTTTAAGGGTACTGCTGAGCTCACGTAGTGACTTGCCCAGGACCTGAGCTGAAAACCAGATAGGAGAAGGTGAGCTGCAACTTCAGTTGCCCGGGTGGTGGGGGAGCCTGCTGGCAAGCGCCAGGCTCAGCTCCGTGGTTTCATCAAACACACTGAAGGGCCACCCAAGGCAGGGAGCAGAGTATGGAGACTCCTGCTTTCAGTAAAGAAGCATGAAAGTATAGTCTCTGAAATTAAATTCGGGAGATAGGCTGGAAGCAGATCAGAGAATGGGTGAATTAGAAGAAAAATCTGAAGAAATTACCAAGAATGGAGCACAAAGAGATGAATATGAAAACTGTGATAAGAGACATGAGGGACAGAAGGGGTGGTGCAGCATACGCCCCAAGTTCCGGAAGGACAGTTACCAGCTGGTGTTTCCCGGAACTGATGAAAGACATGCATGCCGACTCATGCACACGATCAAATACAAAAGACATACCTAAGAGTATAATTAGAAAAATGGGAGAACACAAAGACAAAGAGGTCCTAAAAGCAGCCTGAGAGAAAAAAACATTACCTATTAAGGAAAGATTAGACTGACAGGAAAAATTAGACACCTTTTCGCTGTGATGAACTGGAATGACTGGATGTAGGTGACACGATTAACTAGCTCATCAACTGAGTGCTAGTTAAAGCAACTATGGTACATCCATACAGTGGGACCCAGGACAGAACTACACAGGCCGACTGGCAGCCGTGCGCACAGGCATGTGCTGGGGGGCATGCGTTTAGGCTGCGTGGGTGCAGACGGCCCCGGAGAACGCTCGGCATTCAAGTGATCACAATGAGGGAGGCTGACAAGGCTGTTGGGAAGAGGGTGCGCTTAGCCATCTAGGTTACTCTGCTTTTGAGCCCATTTTGAATGTGCATACTTCCTGTTTAAATAAAACCAAACAATTCTGAAGATCAAATTCTGAAAGCACATATTTGAAACATTAACAACAATTACCTTGGAGAAGAAAGAGGGCAATAAAGGAGGCTTTTGTGTTTTCTTCTGGATGCTGCCATGTTTAAAAAACAAGAATTCATTCATGACCGGGAGGCCTTCAACGGTCACACTCTTTCTTGAGCTGAGAGGTGGATGCGCGGGCATTCTCGGTTATTCTTGAAACTGTACACATACCTTATATACGCTCCCATACATATGTTCTGTTTCATAATTTTAAAAATAATACTTTCATCTATTTCTTAGATAAGGTGAAATAAAACAGGATGGAACAATACGTCGTTTTAGAACACAGAGGAGACACTCTCTTCTTCCTGCTAGGCCGTGTAACTGACAAGGCAACGCAAGTGAATAGAGAGGTCCGTTGCTACAGATGCTGTTCAGTCCCTGACTTGCCAGTCAGGGATCTGGGAGCAGAAAGATGCAGAGAGAGCCTGAAGACGACTTTGAAAACAAAGGTCTCCCTCTGTCACATTTACAGACACCTATCCTTAGGCACGCGTAGGTAAGAGAACTCGGGCTGTGTGCGCAGGGAAGAGAAAAAGTATAAATGCTGTAAAGAGAACTCTGACTTTAGGCCATAATGGGAACTTGAAAAGGATTGGGGAAAGGGGGAGCGGAAATGTTTACCAAGTACTTTTCAGTGCATATTTGGTTAATCAGAGTCTATTCTGCTATGGTGATTTCCATAAAGAGCTCCTCTGTTGAATATTTATACTCCATAATTTACAGTTTGGCTGTTAAGGAGACAAAGGCAAACACAGATTTGGTCCAGAAGTTCAAAGTTTGCCATCTGTTTTCCTATTGTATTTAGATACCAGCATGGATGGCTCCAAGCAAAATAAACAAATAAACCAAAAGATATGGCCTCAGTGTATTTTATATCACTAAGAAAAAAAAAATAGGCCAAACCAGCCTTGAACTTCTCCCCCTTGGGAAAAAGGAAAAACATTTTTCTGACATCTCCTTAAAGCAGCACCACTCTGGCTTCTTGTCGACAGAAGCAGCACAGTGTGCTAAGTCCACCCAAGCCATTCAGATTCACGTGAAGGAACAGGTATCTGCCTCGGATATCTGACAGCGCGCAGCACCGGCCTGAATGCCGTGCGCCTTGGCAAAGCCCGTCGTCAGCTCAGTGCTCAAACCAAATACTCGATGCTGGGAAACAGGTAGCACAGCAAATGGGCACCAGAATATGCCAAGACAACCGATTCCAGGGACAAAGAGGAGCCAATGGTAGATATTGTGAATCCCCATCTAGCGAGTATTTCATCAACTTTGCCCGTTGAAAGAAAAAATAATTGGTCTGAAAGCTGTAATTGTATTATGTTTAATATTCATGGTTGGGCTTGGAGGACGGTTCCAACACTCCCTCTCTCCAGCCCCTCTCTAATGAAAATCACGCCATAGGAGTCGGCAGTAGCCCACCAATTAAAACAAAAGACACCAGAACCTTCCAAAGACTCCAACAGAGGAGCATCCATCTGATGGGCAGGAAAACGTGCTGGAACCGAGAGGGAGGCACGCTCTGGTTGGTCCTGTGTTAAGAGCTTTGAATAACTTATTATAACACTTGCAGATGGAGCAAATGCAACATTTACGCCCCAATCACTCTCTCTAACAGCAGGCAGCAGTAGCACGAGCACAGCACACAACTTTATATTTGTCAGGGCAAGAAGCAAGCGCCGAGATTCTGTAATTGGGGGGTCACAACTCAGGGCGTGCTTCCTATTGGCTTGGATTAAATACTCCCATATGATAATGAGGCACACTGTAGCTGATGGCAAGCTGAAGCCTATTCAGTGTCTGGCTCGGCAGTTTCATTAAGGAGGACCTGACCTTCAGCTATATTTCTACCCAGAAAATAAAGGGAACAAGCAATAAGGTATTACAATGTAGGCTTTTTTTAATGACCAAATTAATTTTAAAAATAGTATTGTTTTAAAGAAATCAATACATGATTCTGTTTGGTCTCACTGAACCTGGGCTATTAAATATTAAAGAGGATTTTAAATATAACCTTATATGCCAAAATCAATAGCTTTATCTACAAAGCACTGACGATGGCCTTAGTGAAAGATTCATTTTAAACAGCAACTAGAAAAACATGTATTTTCAGGTAGAACTGCCAGTTTAATCCAGCTAGGCTAAGCTTAGCGCTCTCTGTATTTTAAGGCTGTATCTCTGAAGTTTAGAGTTCTCTGAATAGAGAACATACAATTCTATGTGGCCAAGACTAACAAGTCTTTCAGACTGGTCACTGAACCTTTCTGGACCAGCATTAGATGGTCTTGAACCAAAATTCTGAGATCCATAACAAGTCCACCCAGTGGACAAAGATGATAATGTATATAATGCCAAGAAAAGGGCACATGGTCCCAAGTTGGAAATACTGAAACGTTTAGTTATTAACTAAGTCATGAGTATTTCCTATATACATATTGTTACTTTCATATGCAGTGACACCGTTCAACATGCCTGACATTTGTAAGTTTACTGTTGTATTATTTTTAAAAGGGTGAGGTATTATAATCAAAAAGCTGCATAGTGTGGTAGTGCCAGAACACAAGACATACAGATGAATGGAATAGAACTGAGAGTCCGGAATAAACCCTCAAAGTTACAGTCCATTCATTTTCAACAGTGGTGCCAAGACAATTGAATGGGGGAGAGAATTGTCGTTTCAATAGATGGTGCCAGGATAGCTGGATATCCACATGCAAAAGAATGAAGTTTAGGTCTCTACCTCACACCATATACAAAAATTAACGCCAAATGGATCACAGACCTCAGTGTAAGAGCCAAAACTATAAAACCCTTTGAAGAAAACTTAGGAGTTAATCTTTGTGAGCATGGGTTAGGAAATCGTTTCTTAGCTATGACATCGATAGCACAAATGCAAAAGAAAAAAAAAACAGACAAATGGAGCTTCATCAAAATTGAAAACTTGTGTGCTTCAAAGAATACAATCTAGAAAGTGAAAAGACAACCCACAGAATGGGAGAAAATATTTTGCAAATCACATATCTGATGAGAGATTTGTACCTGGGCTATATAAAAAAAAAAACTCTAAAAACTCAACAATAAAAAGACAGCCCCATTAAAAAATGGGCTGAGGATTTGGATAGACATCTCTCCAGAGAAGATATACAAACAGGCAATAAGCACGTGAAAGGATATTCATCACCACGGGCTGTCAGAGAAATGCAAATCTAGAATTTGAGACAGTAGCAAGTGTTGGTGAGGGGGCTGAGAAACTGGAACCCTCATCCAGTGCTGGTGGGAATGTAAAATGGTACAGCCACTATAGAAGAGTCTGGCAATTCCTCAAATGGTTTAACATAGAAGTACCACATAAGCCAGCAATTCCACTCCCGGTGTATTTCCCCAACCGAACTGAAAATATGCATCCACAAACAAACTTACACAGAAATGATAACAGTAGCATTATAATAGTCGAAAGGTGGAAGCAGCCCAAATGTCCACTAACTGATATAAAGAAAATGTAGTACATCTGCACAAGGGAGTATTACTTGGCCAGAAAAAGGAATGACATACCGATACATGCTACAACTTGGGTTTATCTTAAACACATACTAAGTGGAATAAGCCCAGTCATAAAAGGTCATAGATTACATCATTTCATTTATAGGAGATGTTCAGGCAAATCCACAGAGAAAGTAAGTAGATGAGTGGTTGCTTAAAGCTGGAGGGGATAAGGGAAAGGGTGAGTGACTGCTAATGGATGTGGGGTTTCTCTTTGGGGTGAAAATGTTCTAAAATGGACTGTAGTGATACCTGCACAACCTTGTGGACCTACTCAAAACACTAAATTGTACTATTTAAATTGGTGAATTATGTGGCATGTAAATTAAATCTCAATACAGCTGCTAAAAAATAAACTTGAGACCATGGGGGAAAACACTGGAATTTGCTGGCTCAGTGACTTAGTAACCCAATTACAGCCTGACATTTGCCCTTAGCACCAACTCTTGGTTCTCCATAGCACAGCACGGATAAGCTTCTCCCTGCTAGATCCCCAGTTGCATTGGTGAAAATGAGCAGATCACAGATAAGAAGACTGAGAGCTACAGAATAGGAAGGGTCCTCATTTAATACAGCCCTTGACTGCCAACTACAGTGCTGACTTCAGTCACTGAAAAGAAAGCAGGACGTTCTGATTCTGGCCAGGATGGAGTAAGCCCACTGCTGCCTCTCTCCTGTCGACTGCCAGCAAAACCTATGGACAAAACACAAAAACAAACACCTGAGGACTCTGGGGAGTCAACGCAAGCCGATGGATTGCAGAGGAGACTCAAACCCATGGAAGTGGCTGTATAGGGGAGGAGTTTCCCATTTTTTTCCCTTTTTCCTCCTGCAGCCTTGCCCTGAGTATGGACTCCAACATGCAGAACTGTGTGGTGGTGCAGGAAGCTAAAACTCCAATAGAAACTCCATCTTTCTGACCAGAGGAACAAAAGGGGCCCCTGCAGTCCCCAAAGAATAGGGGTGAGTGTTATTGTGGGGTTATTTCCTCTTTCTTGTGGCTGTGCCACAAGGACAGTCCCCAGTCACATGCTGCATGGTGGCGGCGATTCAGGCAGGTAGAACTCTGACAGAAACCCTATCTTTCTGACCAAAGAACTATAAGAGAAAGGAATCCCTGAAGGCTGGAAAGTGTAAGGATTAAGAGAGGAGAAACCTCAAGAAAGGGATCACATAATACTGTGTCTAAACCCACATAAGTCCCAGGCTCATCCCTGGGCTACGTGGGACAGATTCAAAGCAGGACGGCAACGGCTTTAAGAGCTCAACTAAGAGTGAACCACTGCCAAGCCTCAGACTAACCCAAGTGGCACATGCGCAGACCAAAAACAGCATAGAAACTGAACAGCTTTGGAAAGCGAACTGACACTGGAGTCACCACCCACAGAGGGTAAAACAGAACTTGCCGTCTGAACCTAAGCAGGGTGACTGCCTGTTTAAAAGCAAAACAAAGCAAAAATCATTCGTTGGAGGATTACATAACAGGATCCAGAGTGTATACAACACGACATCCATAATGTCCAGAATACAAAATTACTTGACATAGCCCAAACCAAAAGCCAAACAGGAAAATGTGACCCTTTCTTAAGGGAAAAGACAATTAACAGATGTAAACCCTAAGATAAGCCAGTCTGGGAACCCTCAACGACTTTAAAGAACTTGTAGCTATATTCCACAAAGTAAAGGTAAAGCGCATGGGAACACTGACAGTGACCACCTCAGCAGAGACACAGAAACTATATGTATAAAAAGAAATGAACGGAAATTTTTAACCAAGAAAAGATGAAATCTGAAATAAAAAATTCACTGGATAGGCTCAACAGCAGAATGGAGATGACACAGGAAAGAGTCCATAAACCTGAAGTTAGAGCAACAGAGATGATGCAATCTGAAGAATAGAAAGAAAGACTTGGGAAAGAACATGAACACAGCTTTGGTGTCCTGTTGGAAAATTTCACAAGGTTTAATATTTACACTATTGAGGTTATCAGAAGGCGAGGAGAAAGGGATTATTCAGAAAAACTATTTGAGGAAGTAATGGCAGGAAACTCCAAATTTAGTGAAAGACATAAATATTCAGATTCTAAATGTTTAATAAACCCCAGACAGGGTTTAAACTAAAAAAAAAAAAAAAACAAGTGATTACTTCCTGCAGACTTTTCCTTAGTGACTCATTCAAGTTTCTCATAAATGTGAATTCCTAAGCTATTAATTCATTGTTGCCTTCAGTGAGTATATACTTTCATTTCATTGAAAACGCCACTGATTCCAAGAAGCATCATTACTTTGTGTAACTTTTAAAAATGCTGCCATTTTATGATGCTATTGTAAAAGTCCATTCTGATTTCATAGATGTGAAAATGTTTTTTTTTAAACATATATCTTAGAATAAATAGAAAATATACTGTGCTAGCACCCGCCAAACACCAGAGAGTGTGTGGTAAGTGGAATGGACACGAGCAGCCAGTCCTAACGCCAATGTGCATCACTCCCCCCGTACCATTACTCATTGCTCTTTCTTTTTAGTCTTAGCAAGAAGGGACAAAATACGCATTCAGAAAAACTCACTGATCTACACTGATAAAACTCTTACGCACAATCTCACTTTTCTCTCCGCTCCCATCTTTACAAGCCTTCCCTCCCAGCAAGGGAAAAGCATACTCTAACATTAACTCAGTTTCCACCCCAATCTTTCTCTTGCTCTTCATCAGACTCTGTTTATTTTTTAGTTTTTCTTTATCTTTTGAGATGGAGTCTCGCTGTGTCACCCAGGCTGGAGTGCAGTGGTGTGATCTTGGCTCACTACAACCTCTGCCTCCTGGGTTCAAGCGATTCTCCTGCCTCAGCCTCCCGAGTAGCTGAGACTACAGGCATGAGCCACGATGTGTGGCTAATTTTTGTATTTTAGTAGAGATGGGGTTTCACCATCTGGCCAGGCTGGCCTTGAACTCCTGACCTCAAGTGTCTGGGTTTTCTTGAGTGATAGGACAGATACTTTTTCATTTTTAATTTAAGTCCGCTGTCCCCCCCCACCCCCAAAATAAAACTCCTTGCAAAATCCCACCCATGTTTGCAAACGACTTAAAACTGATTCCTTACTTTAATGAATGAAAACATATTTTTGTCTTAATCTGGGGCAGTTTTATGTACCTTTAGAGTCCATCTCATTCCCAAGTTATTTATAAAGCACTAAGAGAATGCAGTGGGAATTAAGTTTTTAAAATAAAATAGGAAGGTTCTAGGGTTTGTAAAAAATTGCATCAGTCAGTTAGTGACAGCCAAGGACATAGTTCTCTTCATAATATTTGACCCCTTACTCGCACTTTTAACATAAAACATAAGCTATACAAGCCTGGGCCGGCATCTCTAATAAGATCTTATTCATAGCTATTAAGCCTCTGGGGGAAAAAAGCAAGATTTCCCTCTACCACACTTAGTCTAGCTTCCTCATTCCTTTTTCCTAGATGTGCAATTTTTATTAAAACAACAGATTTTAAACCCCTCAATTCTAAGCTGCTGACCCAGCAGCCCTGACTCGGGGAGTAATCTTACATATGATGGCTGCCCCTAATGTACCAGCAGTGGGCACACAGCTGGCACTGCTCTAGGACTCACACTGGTTAAATGCCAATTTGGATGCCCCACCTCCAACTCTAAGTCACTGGTCTGTTCTTTTCATCCACAGAGACAGAGCATTTTTTAAAAAATGTAACATTGGCTTACTAATAAAATGGACTTAACACAGTCAAATTTGGACTGCAAACTGACCAGGGAGCCCTCCGACACTATGCACGGAACGCCTCTCTGGCAGTGCGTACGTAACAAGCAGCCTGCTCCAGAGGAAAAGACAGCTCTCCTGAGTGTGTACAGTCATCCCTCAGTATCCACAGGGGACTGGTTCCAAGACCCCCTGCAATTCCAAAATCCACAGATGCTCAAGTCCCCCTTTACGTATAAAGTGGTGTGGTATTTGCATATAACCTACACACACCCTCCCATAAAAACCATCTCTAGATTACTAATAATACCTAATACGATGCCTACACATAGCTTCATTATGATTCAACATAGTACCTGGCTTGCTGCAAATTCAAGTTTTGCTTTTTGGAACTTTGTAGAATTTTTTTCTTAATATTTTTGAAATTATGCAGAAAGCAGAGGTTTCTTCTCTGCAACACCCTTCTGGTTTCCGGTGAGCCTAAGCTGTGGCTGAAGATACAAATGTTCACACTGCAAGCACACTCTGAGCATCATCCACCATCCCAAAGAGCCCTCCACATCGCCTCTCCTCAAAAACAAGCAGCTGCCAGGCCCCTGTGTGGAGATCCTGGGAGGGGCGCTTGGAGCCTCTGCATAGCTCAACCTGGAAACTAAAATGCAGGATTAAAACTACAAACTGACTTGATTCTTTTGTCATGCCACATGTGGGGCCACTTATCAAGCCTAGTTTCTAAAGAGAGCTAGCCCAGTGCGTGCCCAGACACACTGAGGAGTTCAGTTCTCAAGCACCAGAACATCGGGCATTTTCGGAGGCCTTGAAGAAAAATGATTATTTTTCTCCCCAGTAAAGAATACTCACATCATCTCCTTGCTCTAAGTTGGGGGCGGGTATCTAGGGGTGAAGGTCGGGAGTTGAAAATATTGTTTGACAGAATAACTATTTTTGCAAGCTGCTGCACTGGCGGGACAGAGGCCTGGGATCTGGCACAGAGGAGTACCCGCCTCACGATCTGACACCCGCCTCCGAGCAGCCCGCCACCTGCAGCCCGGGGCTGGGCCCAGGGGAGGGGGCACCAGCCGCCCCTGGCCCTCAGCCATGCTACCTCTCTTCGGGGCACTGGATCAGACACAGCAGATAACCGGCCAAAAAAAAAAAAAAAAAAAAAAAAAGGAAAGAAAAGGAAAAGAAAAAACAAGGAGAGAGGAAGGGGGGAGAAACCTAAAATTTGGACTCAGAGGGTCTTTTCAAACACTTTAATCCTTTCTTGCTGATGGTTCCTGGGGTGCCCGCGGCTGGCACAGGCCCCTGTACCGGGAAAAGCTGACTCCCTAAGCCAGTGCGTTACAGAGAAGGCTGCTAATCAGCTAAATAGAAACTGGAATCTGTTCACATGAAGTCTCCCTTTCCCTCCATCGCCAGAGGGACACCACCAGGTTCTGAAATACACTCTTGACATCATTTGGCAGGAAACCCTATTTTGTTGAACATGATTCATCCCTTAGGTTATTGTTTTTAATATTAGAAAGTGAGCTTTTAAGTGCCAAACAAATTCTGCAGCAGGGGGACAAAAGATATTCCAAGTGGTCTCCCTGGACCTTCTACCAACTGCGTCCACCAAATGGCTTAAAAGAAAACCTTCCCATGGTGCTTCAGAAATGAAGCAGAGACATAGCGACATCCAACTATTACCTAATACAGGACTTTGTTCTCCGAGTCTAGAGCGTTTATGGGATCGGGGCTGAACTCAGGTGGGCAGAGCTGTTGAATGAGAACCGGGCAGTGTGAGCAGCGCAGTGGGGGCCGGGTGGCCAGGCCTTGGCCGAAGCCGTGGGGCTGCAAGGCAATGCCCTTCCAATTCACGTACCTCCCGTCCATGTTGCCACTGACCATGAGGTTGGGAGGGCTGTCGCTGAGGTTGACACATGTGAAGTCACGGAGAACGTTACCCAGCTTCAAGAGGCGGCGTCCTGCTTCCAGGCTATATACCAGGATCTGAGAGAGGAAGAGAAATGTGTGGGCCCACAATTCCATACACCAGGCCAACATCAAACACTTTCATTTCAGCATCGTGGAAGGCATGATCCTTACCACTCAGCTCCCGTGAAGATGTTCTGCCACTTAATTTCCTGATCTTTTTCAGGTTACTGATAGTATAGGGACATGGCTATTAGAGTGCCAAAAAGAAATGCAAAGGGAGAGAGAAGGAAATCCCGTGAATTTCTCAGGCCAAGGTGCACACTCAGGCCACAAGGAAAATGCGAGGAAATCAGGTATTCTAATTTCTTAACAAAGAGAAAGCTGTCTGGAAACGATGGGGCCACTGACTGCTTCTGATTTGAAATGAATGGGAAAGCTCGCAAGGCATCAGGAAGCTTGCAGATGAGCCAGCATGAGTTCTCATCTGAATTTACAACACAGGCGGGAAAAGAAGGAATAGTACAAGGACCAGGAAGATGAAGCTTGTATAGTTAGCCACTGGATGCTTCCTTCGGACTGAACTACAAACCAAAACACAAACTTACTTCCAAACACTTCTCTCTTCACTCTCTGCTTGCTAGTTTTAGGATGCTCTGTTCCACAGGGTATGAAAGTAATAAGGTACCCCTGATTTCCACACGATGCATTGTTATATTAGAACACCTCGTGTCTTCTCTCTAGCGGGGTGAAATTTATGTTTTTTGCTTTAAAAGTATTAATTCAATTCAACTTAATTCAAAGAACATTAAGTGCTTGCTATGTGTCAGTCACTGGTGTAGGTGCTGAGGACACAGTCCTTGCCCCAGATTCACATTCAGAAGGCTCCTCATTAACACACACGCAAACACACCAAGTTCTGAGCGTACTTTCTATCCTAGTGATCATGTTGATATTTCTAAATTAATGAACTCAAAAGCTTTTGGTTTTTTTGAGGGGATGGGGGGACAGGGTCTTGCTCTGTCATCCAGGCTGGAGTGCAGTGGCAACATCATAGCTCACTGTAGCCTCAAATTCCTGAGCTCAGGCAATTCTCCCACTCAGCCTCCCGAGTAGCTGGAGCTATGGGTGTGTGCCACCACGGCCTGCTGATATCTTTCTTTCTTTCTTTTTTTAAAATTTTTTAAGTAGAGAAGGGGTCTCACTATGTTGCCCAGCCTGGTCTCAAACTTTTGAGGTCAAGCGATCCTCCTGCCTTGGCCTCCCAAAGTGCTGGGATTATAGGCATCAGCCACTGCACCCAGCCAAAAGTTTTTGGTCTTTTTTTGCTTTTGTTTTTGAGACTGAGTCTCACTCTATCACCCAGGCTGGAGTGCAGTGGCGCGATCTTGGCTCACTGCAACCTCTGCCTCCTGGGTTCAAGTGATTCTTTTGCCTCAGCCTCCTGAGTAGCTGGGATTACAGGCGCCCGCCACCACGCCTGGCTAATTTTTGTATTTTTAGTAGAGACGGGGTTTCACCATGTTGGCCAGACTGGTCTCGATCTTCTGACCTCAAGTGATCCTCCCACCTCAGCCTCCCAAAATGCTGAGATTATAGGCGTAAGCCACCACACTTGGCCCCAGCCAAAGGTTTTAATAGTAATATTTTGTAGAAAGATTTATCCTTTCAGCACACACATGGAAATGATGTACATTTCTTCTTGTCAACCTATACATTTATCACTTACCAGGATACAGATTTTTACTTTAGTATTGAGAAGTTAATAATAAATTAAATATTCTCTACCTTGAAAATAATCAATCCTGTCAACACACATTTCTAACAAGTGAATCTTTGGAAGTTTCTAATTGTCAAAACAACACTATAATATTAACTATTGCTAACAGCATCTAGAAGGAGAAAGGACAAATTCAAAATTTAAAATGCCCTCTTAATCCATAAAGACTACAGAGAACAATTGCACTTGAAAAGAAAAATTTCTGACGCAGAAAATTTCAACAATTTAAAAATATCAAGAGTAAGATTATTCTTCCAAGTAAGTATACAGAAATAACCAAATCTCTTATCTTCAGGGAATAACCTAAAAATTATATAAAATCAGCACCTAGAGGGAGAAAATAAAAAGAGCAACCTCACATTCTATTATAAAAGTAGTATTCTGCATCTACTTATCATTAGAGTGTTCAAAAATTTGCACTCAATATTCTCTTGTTTTTAAAATACTTCAACTTCTGTAGCAGGAAGGTAAGGCCTTTAAGTCAGTAAAATGTTGATGGTAAATCTAAGAACTGAAATCTGATACTGAGTAGGTTCATGTGTCTTTATGTCTTCCGGTTGTTCTTTTTTGACAAGTGGATAAATTATTTCTTAGTGATATAGTGAGATGTAATCCCTTTCCAAAAAGACTCTCTGCAAATTCATCATAAAGACATCTAAGTTAGTCCAGAGTCCAGTATTTTCTAAAATGTTTAATAATTCAACGAATCAGAACTATCTGAAGAGTACCTTTACCATGACGTTTAGTTAAAGACCACAGAGATTAGAAAACACATTACCCATCTCAAAGGCAGTTCTTTCCATGTTACAAGTCCCTTAACGACCTTTACCATTTCTCCCTCCCTCCCACGTACTCTCTCTCTTTTAATAAGGTTGAGCAAATGGGACTTCATTTTATCTGATTGCCATAGACTAGTGAGATTAATTATTCATGCTCACACTCTCCCTCTTGTTAAGACCATGCATTAGACTAATTTTTCTCTTTACTGCCCTAGTTGGGTGAGTCTCAACCCATGGCCACTTGACTCATTCTCAGAGGTGTACAGATATGCTGGAAAAACCTACCCCAGCTCAAATCCCAGAGAAAATATTCTGCACTAATGTGGCTGCCAAAGATGATGTTGAGGATGGTTCCTTTTAAGTACCAGGTGTATATCAGAGAAGAACTTGAACAGTGATCACAGAGCAAATTTTTGCAGGCATTAGATGTTTCTGTAAGAATTAGCTAAAACAGCTAAGCCATGTTGAGGCTGGTTGTGTGCCTTACAATGGTGCTGTAGGAAATGCAGGACACAGAGAATTCTTCCTCCTCTTTGGCTTCCAGGTAGACCTAGAAGGCAATGGGGGAAAAGCAAGCACTATCTTTAAAAATAACTTTAGCAGAAAGTTCTCTATTCATCTGTTTTTTTAAATTAGAGACCTTAAAGTATTTCCATAAATCCTAGTCTTAGAATCTTAACTTGCAATTTTGTCAGTGATTCTGATGTACCTGAAATCTATTTCTAAAAATCTTTTTCTGATTTCAAATATGATACATCTTACAACAAATTCTAACACAACAGAATTCTGTAAGGAAAGTGGTAGCCCTCTGTATATTCATCTCTCAGAAATCACCACTTTTAACAGTTTGATATACATACTTCTAGACTTTTCTTCTGCACATCTGTCTCTGTGTGTATACACATTTTTTTCTTACATGGGATTACTTCACAACTCCTTTTCCCTACGTGGCAGTACCTATAGATAGATCTTGTACTTTTTCATGGTTGTGTAGAATTTCTCTGTGGATACACAATTCCATATGGATTGTTTCTAATTTTTAGATAAAATAAATAATGCTGTAATTCATTCAAGAGCCAGCCAACAGATATTTATCCATCATCTTCTAGGCACTGGAATGAACGTGCAGGGACGCTGGGTGACGTGCAGAAGTCCCAGCCTGCTGCCAGCTGACAGAGCCCGCCTCTTCCCCAGCTGGGGCCTGACCGCCAGCTGTCCTGCTCCTCCATAGATGGGGCCTGCCTCTCTGAGGAGACTCACCGACCATCTTCTAGCCATGTCCTGGCAGCTGGTGTCTTAAGCAGCAGGGGTAGCGGTCCAGAGTCAGGAAGGAGACACCAGCCACAGGCCCAACAACGGGAAGGCATCAGCCACCGCCGTGGGCAGGCAGGCCCCGCAGCATCCAGGTGTGGCCTGGACTGGCTTTCCAGGCACTGTGAAGGAAAGAGCTGAGAGATGGCTCTTGTCCCTGTGGGGGGTGGGGGGGGTGGTGAGTTCAAGGCAGACCAGCTTCTTCCTTCACCCAGTAAAAAATGGATTAACACTGCAAGCTTTTCCTAAATTGGGGGCTATCACCCTCATAATTAATCATGAACCACTTGCATACTGAAATCACTGTGAAGAGATTATAGAGCCTTACCCTCCCAGAATTTTGGTCCTATACTGATGAATGAGGAAAGGAGCGCTGTGTTTTAATTTTATCGAAATACTGAGTCTTCATACTGAAATACCTGCTACAGGCATTAAACCAACAACCACCACCCCAGCAGCTGGCTCAGCTCCCCAGAAGCCCAGCACTGTCTGTCCAGAGAGCTCAGGAGGAGTCGGAAGGCCTCCTTACAAGACGAGAGCATTTTAAAAGCTTTTTCAATTGAAGATGATTTGTTGGCCGCCATTTAAAAAAGGGAAGTGGCAAAGAGAGCCAAAGGTTAGGAGGTGCTGTGCTGGGCTGAGCAGAGTCTAAGAGAAGAGGCAAGAGAGGAAGATGCGACTACACTTCCTGGAGATGACACCATCTACCCACTTTCTTTCTGATCCCTAGTAACCTATCTCCATCACTACCTCACATATGTGGCTCTTCTGAACGGGGAAGTCGTGATCAGAAGCTAGATGCTGGGCGGTGAGGCAGTTAAACCGCCTGCTCTCTCCTTTTCTGTCCACTCCCGCTGCCTTTGTGCTCGCTTCTCCGTGATGTCCTCGGCACACAGTGCCCGTTCCCCTGGTCAGTGCTGAGAGTCCTTGCTGTCTGCAGGTGTCACATGGTGTTTTGACAAGGCCACCCTGACCTGTGTCTTATCATCTTCCAGCTCTTCCCTAGATCTGTGGTTCTCAGATACTGGAGGGGAGGAGGCGGTGACTCCAGCAGGTCAGGGGAGGCTCTGCAGCACTATTACCAAGCACCACACCGCATCACACCAAACACTGTAACACTCTCCTAGGCTTCAACTCTAAGGTTCCTGGGGGCAGAGATGTCCTATCATTCATTCATTCATGTGGCAATTATTAAAGGGCAGCACATC